ACTCCTGGTCGCCTTCTTTCTAGCCTGGTGTCTTAACCACTAGGCCAAACTGGCTCTTGTATGATCAATTATCTCTCACTACCTGGCCCTAAATCTTGACTGTGAGTGACTATTCATCAGCCTTCTATTCTGGAGTTACAGTTCCAACTGTGGTTTGGGTGGGAAGTGGATGCTGCAATATTTACTTAAAAGCTTTATTAACGAAGGTTGTGCAGATAGAGATCAATTTATAAATAGCAAAGGGTCATAGATTCCATACACTCTCCTCTTCAACAGCCAGCAGGATAACAAACTGCCATGGCAAATCTACAGTAGAAATTTAAATCAGTTTAGAAGTATGGCGAACATGGTGTTCAGATTCTTCCACATTTTGGAGCTCTATTTGCACAAGTCATCCTTGACATACAAAGTTCAAAGTTACAACGCCACTGAAAAAAAAGTGACTTGTAATTATTCCTTGTACTTATGACTGTCACAACATCCCAATACTGAGGTGAACAAAATTTGGGCACTTGGCAAGCAGTATATTTTTGCAATGGTTGGAGTACAGAGATGGTATTCAGCAGGTTCTGACAGGTTCTGAAGAATCGGTAGCGCAAATTTTGAGTAATTAGCAGAACCGTCAAATACCACCTCTGATTGGCCCCTCCCCCATCTATTCTCTGCCTCCTGAGTCGCAATTGATCAGCTGGGTCTTCTTTCGTTGCCCTGCACAGGAGAATGGAGTTGGAAAGCGGGTTAGTGGGGTGGGGAGGGAATGGGGATTTTATAGTATCCTTCCCCTGCCATGACCACCAAGCCATGCCCACAGTAGTAAAAAAAATTGACTCCCACCACTGTTGGAGTGTCCCTGGGTCACATGATCACCATTTGTGAGCAACCCAGCTGGCTTCTGGCAAGCAAAGTCAATGGTGGGAGCCAGATTCACTTAATGATTGCATAATTCACTTAACGAAATGCAGTGAATTGTTTAACAACTATGGCAAAAAAGGACATGAAATTGGTTGTGACTGATATACAGTAACTGCCTTGCTTAGCAATGATCCCAGTTGTGGTTGTAACTTGAGTATTGCAGCAGAATTTTATTTGGTCTTCAGTTTGCTTTTAAATATCTCTTCCAGCTTCCCGGCTTCTGCAAAACAGTGGTTGGCTTCATATACACTGGGAAGCCAAAATAGGAGTTGTTGTTTGTGGCTTAGGATGTTGTGTGAACCAGCAACCATTCAGCTTGTAAATCATGGTTATGGCTCAGTGCATCGTGCCGCATTTGTGCTATACTCAGCCAACTGAGGTTAACCAATCCATGGGTTGGAGTGTTTTGTGAACCAAACCAGATGGAAGAGGGCTTGTGGGCCCAAAATGACATAAAATGAAATGAGGGAGTCTATTATCAGCAAAACAAGGATTTTAGTCAGTCAAGGAGGGTTCCAGCACAGCATCAGGATGTTTAGGACATACGTATAAATTCTAGCCGTGTGTCATTTTTCTCTATAGAGTCTGCCTCGATGCCCACATTCTCCTATGTGATTTATTTAATTTGAAGTTGCAGCATTGTGTCAACTCAGGTGTATTTTTATGAATAGAGTTTAAACTTAGAGTGGGATACTAGAACAAAAACACACAAAAAAGTAAAGAATAAGCCAGTGGTGCTACTCAGCCGGTTCACACTGGTTCACACGAACCGGTAGCAAGGATTTGGCATGGGTCGCCGAACCGGTATTAAGTGCTGGCTGGCCATGTCCCTGACCTGGTTGCCCGGTAGCTGCTGGCTCACTTGCCCCATCCGCCCAATGCTCCCTCACCCTGCCTGCCTGACGCGCGCCCACTAAGGTATTATTTTTTTCCCTCCCAACAATCAGCTGTTCATACAATCAGCTGTGCCGGGATTCCCCTTGCCGAGGCCCAAGAAGGCAAAAAATGGAGGGAGGAGCACAGCCCCCGCCCTGCATTTTTTGCCTTTCTGAGCCCCAGAGGAGCCATCTGGGAGCAAAAATTCCCCCCCCCCCAGGAAGCTCCCCTGAGGCCCACAAAGCCCCAAAACGGAGTGAGGGTGGTGCTGCGTGTCCCCTCCAGGCTCCATTTTTTTTCTTCCTGAGCCCCAGGGGAGCCTTCTGGGAGCAAAAACACCCCCCAGGAGGCTTACCTGAGGCCCAGAAAGCCCAAAATGGGTGGGGAGGTGGCTTCAAAAAAGCCAAAAAAAAGCCACACCTATCCAGTCACATGCTCACCTAACCATGCCCACCAAGCCACTCCCACAGAACTGGTAGCAAAAAAATTTGAATCCCACCACTGGAATAGGCCATATTGTCTTCCAGTCATATATTTTAATGATTTATCCTTCTGACGTGTTTGGTAAGGAAACTTTCAAAGAATTTGGGGGGAATTTCTTTCAGGTCCTGGGTCTGCAGATAACTCTGCTTAATGGTTTACTACATTATGTAAATCCAGCCCCCTTGATAATTGTGGCAATATTTTCACACAAAATAGACTGCAGAAATTTGTTCACACTGTGTGCCCAATCTGATTACCAGACAAATTCATTTCCTGGGTTCATACAAAGATTGAATCATAAGCTAACCAAACAAGCTGAGTTTGCCTAACAATAAGTCACAAAAAGTGTGTTTAACACTAATCAAGTCTAGCATCTTGTATAAACGTAGTTATTTGATTTTTAAGTGACCTTGAGAAAGATGATACATAAAACAGTAAGAAACTGGTAAAAATGGAAGAAGACTTGTATGTGTGTGCAGTTTAATCCCTGCTTGATGCACAAATTCCAGAATTAAAGTATCCCTGAATAGTTGTTTAATCATTGTTTAAAGACTTCCAATGAAAAGCAACCTACTTTTCCTCTACATAAGAGAGTCCTACATTTCCTTGGTTCCTAACCTGTGCATCACAGCACCCCAAAATGCTGCAGTGAACTCATTAACTATTCTATTTATTAAATTTACAGGTGGTCCTCAACTTATAACCGTTCATTTAATAACTGTTTGAAGTTATAATGGCACTGAAAAAAATGACTTATGACCATTACAGCATCCAAATGGCTACATCAGGGGTCGCCAAACTTAAGCTATGCTGGCTGGAGAATTCTGGGAGATGAAGTCCAGAAGTCTTAAAGTTGCCAAGTTTAGAGACCTCTGGGTTACATGAACAAAATTTGGACACTTGGCAATTGAGTCATATTAATGACTGTTGCAGTATCTCACTATTGTGAGATCCCTTTTTGTGACCTTCTCAAAGCAGTGAGACAACTGCAGAGTTAACAACTGGAGTGATTCACTTAGCAACTGTGGCAAGAAAGGTCATAAAATGAGGCAAAGCTCACTTAAAATTGTCTCGCTTAGCAACATAAATTTTGGGCTCAGTTTGTGGTCGTAAGTGGAGAACTACCTGTAGTAAAATGTCCTATGTTGTCCTTGTGATTCACTCTAGCACCATGCTGTAGAGTTTGAGAAACTCTACACCTTTCTTGAATTGCTTTTGCTAAGAATAATAGAATTATAGCAAAAACAAAAAACAAAAAACCCAACAACAACAACTTTTCCGATTAACAAATGTCATTAAAAGGAATAAGCTGTCATGAATTGCAGGCTACTTCATAACATACGCTTTCTCTTTCTGATTGTTTTGATAGCATAGATTAGCATGGTTTTCTTTCTGCAATGTCTAAAATAGAATCTTAGAGATTCTATGGGAAGGAAAGAGATCTTGGAGATCTTCGTGTCCAACCATCTTGTCCTGGGAAGATCTCCTTATGCCTTTCCAGACAAATGGCTGTCCAAACTTTGTGTGAAATCCTCCAGTGATGGAATGTCCTCAGCTCTCGGAGCCAAGCTGTACCACTGCTTAATAGCTCTCACAATCAGGAAATTGCTTTCGGTTTTGAGTTTGGCTCTCCCTCCGCAAAGCTTCCATTCATTGGTCCTTGCTCTACTCTCAAGAAGCTTCTAATGCTCATTTTGAATCCCCTATCTTGCAATTTAGTTCTACAACATTTAATCCTGCTTTAGGGGTAACACAGACTAACAAGCCAACTCTTCTGAAGAGAACCAGGCATTGTGCGGTACAGTATGACAACTACAGATGCAGGCCTACCAACTTCCCACAAAACAAACTCCATACTAAATTTTTACCTTTAAAAAAATTAAAGGCTGATATCTTGCACGTCATCTAGCTTGAAATGTGTCAGATAACTGTAAAAGTTATCTAGCTTGTAAAAGTTACTGACCCCAGGGATAGAAAGATGGACTACAGAATAATAAAGCACACAAGGAATGATTTATGGAGAATTTTGTTGCCTGCCAGAGATATACTTTTAAAAACAGGGTGTAGGTATAGTCCTCAGATTGAGAGAAAGAGATCTCCAGTAGTTGCCAAGAATACAACCATTGAACGAGGAACATTTTTACTACTTTCTAAAGATTCTTTGTAGCGCACCCAGCTAATTCTAAAATGGTAGTTGGAAAAATGCATGTGGAAAGTATATATATTAATATTATTCCAATTTACAAGTTTTGCAGCTGGGCCTTCAAATTTAAAACAGGCCCTGAGGTTAACCTTGGATCAGATTAAGCCCAGTCAAACATTTATATATAATCATGACTGTTTAACAAAGGCTTTTCCTCAGTAAGGAAAAAAAAGAGCCCCAAGTGTTTAATAAAGGAAATGGAAGAGGTTAAAAACCATCATGATGGCCAGTAAAGGCATCTGGTGAATATTAGAAGTGTCAGCAAGTCATAAAAAAGCCACTTCATCAAGAACATTCCATTTATATATTGCTGACAAGAATAACAGCAGAAAATGAAAATATGAGAAGAAGAATAGGGAGACAGGGGAAAAACATACAAAAATAGTATATGTAGTTTTATCAAATTAAAAAAAAAACCCAAGGTAATTTAGAATAATGTTTTAATCTGGCTTCCACTGAACAATATGTCAGTACCAAAGAAACATGGGTGAATTGTGTTTTCTTGATGGATCAGTTCAACATCTTGTTAATCGTTCTCTTCCCCGTGGGTAATAACGTAAACAAGATTCTTGTAATCAAGATAACCAGAGGGATCTGGAGGAAAAGCACTGAAGGTCTGCTTCACCTGAAAAAGAAGTACAGAATAAAAGTTAGAAAGGACATATGCAGAGAGTTAACAATTGCAGTTTCCACATAGACAAAACAAATCCTAACCAGGTTTCTAGTCCTTAGGGACATAATTCATTGTTCCCACTTGGAAGAATGAAGTGTTGACAGCAAAACCATTGAATAAGAGTTTACTGCAGGAGGTTCAAGGAATTAGACAATTTGACAAATGTGATTTTGCAAGAAAAAGCATGCCCGCCATTTTGATTTCTTTTGCTTTGAATTGAAAAGATTTAGCAACTATTCAAAGTTACAATGAACCCCCCCCCCCAAAGGAACTTATGACTTGATTCTGGAGTTCTGACAGTGGCACACACAGAACCCACAGAACCGTATTTCAATTGCTTGTCAATCAACTCACTTTTACAGCTGGTTGCAATGTTGTACATTCACCTGCTACAATTTACAATGTATTATGCTAGAAACTGGGGGATTTAGGCAATTTCCAGCAAAAAACACCCGTATAATGCATTGACTCACTTAACAACCATAGGGTTTTCTTAATGATCACCGGAAAAAATATCATAAAATTAGGTTAGACATGTGCTTTGATTTATGGCAGCAATGACTTGTGATGGAAATTCCAAGCTGTTACAATTGTAAGTTGAGGACTATCTTTACATTATTAAGAATGATCATATACAGGCAATAAATCTGGTTTTCGCATGAACACTGGTTGTAATTGCGATGAAAAAAGAGTATTTTGATTAAGGTGGACAATCCAGTCAAACACAATATGCTCTAATAATGGGACAAATTTCAAATCTGTATTATTGGGGGGGATCCTTATATGAATGTACAATGTGATTACTCTTAACCTCTTGCATATTATAGATATTAGCAAGATGCTGGAATCTGCAGTATTCCTATATTAAATTTTAATAGTGGGAATTAACATTTTTAAATGGTGCACTTCTTTTTCAGTTTCAAATCTTGCAAAAGGTAGGCATTCTGAAATCTCATGAGATTTTAGCCAGGAAAACCCAAATTTTCATCTTAAACAAAATTAGCGCACAAAATTATCCATTGCAATGTCCTACCCGTCAGTGACAACTTCAACTTCAACCACAACAACACACGAGCACATAATAAGTACAAACTCAAGGTAAACCATACCAAACTCGATTGCAGGAAATACGACTTCAGCAACAGACTGGTCAATGCCTGGAATACACTACCTGACTCTGTGGTTTCTTCCCAAAACCCCAAAAACTTTAACCTTCGACTGTCTACTGTCGACCTCACCCCATTTCTAAGAGGTCTGTAAGGGGTGTGCATAAGCGCACCAACGTGCCTACTGTCCCTGTCCTAATGCTCCCTTTTATTCTTATCCATTTCATGTATTAATAATCATGTTTACACTTATATCTGTTATCTAATACATGCTCAACAAATAAATAAATTAAAATAAATAAATTAAACTCCACACATCTTAAAGCAGCTGAATTTTGAAAAATACTGAATGGGAGCATGAGTGAGAGATGGATCTTGATCCTTTCCTTTCCTTTTATCTCTTCTCCTCTCCTTTCCTTCTTCCCTTCCCTTCCCTTCCCTTTCCTTTCCTTCTTTCCTTTCCTTTCCTTTCCTCTCCCCTCCTCCTCCCATTCCTTTTATCCTCTCCTTCCACTAAATTCCTGAGTGGAGGAGATGCTGGACTGGAACCTTACAGAGGGCATAATTGGTTTAGTCACAAGTGCGGCTCATTGTAAAGTGGACCGCTTGAAATCAATGGATTCCTTTTTGCAGTGTTCAGCACAGACACTGGAGCCACAGGACTGTGGCAGAGAAAATAAGAACAATCACTCTTACCACAGTCTGGATATGCAACGGCCCGAATTCAGGGTGGAGGGAATAACAGCCTTTGACAGAGATTTTATATAAACCAGAAGTAGCTCTACCCATATATTCTGGAATTATCAAATTCTCACGGAAAATTACGATTCTTTACATCAAGTTCTGACCATAAAATCCTTCCCAGCACTTCCTGCCACGAAAATTATTCTTAGCCAAACAGAAAAAAAAAATGTTGGTTGCATGCAGCTTGCATGATAAAATAAATCTTACCTCTTCCTCAGTGAACCGGTCTGCCTGCGTCATGAGCACCTCTTTCATACTGTATCAAATAAAATACATAAGGTAAATAAAATGAAGCAAAATGGAATAAAAAATAAAATACATAAATAAAAATAAAATAATAGCACAAAAGTCACTGGCAAAGTCACTTTATCAATGCAATGTTGTCTCTGATACTAAAAGGAAATTGATAGCTGTAAGTAGTACAGGTAGCTGTCGACTTATGACCACAACTGAGCCCAAAATTTATGTTGCTAAGCAAAACACTTGCTAAGTGAATTTTGTCCAATTTTACGACCTTTCTTGCCACAGTTGTCAAGAAAATCACTGTAGTTGTTATTTTTAGTAACATGGCTGATAAGTGAATTTGATTTCCCCAATAACTTGGCCTGTCAGAAGGTTGCAGAAGGGGATCACTTGATCCTGGTCTCAAAGGTCCAAGGTTCAGGTCAAAACCAAAGCAGGATGCCACTCGCTGTGATTTTCCAATGGTTTATTTCACTGGAATCCCAGTACACAGTGAGGGAAAAAAGTTAGTGCTGGGCGCTTCCACTTCCCAGTGCCCTATGAAGGCTGGAGCCGCACCCTTCCTCTGCTGGAGCAGCTGAAAATCCAGCACCACCAATCAGCTGTTCATCAGCCAGCCTGCAGGCAGCCACAAACAGTTGTTTGTTGACTGGCTTGCAGCCTTGATTAGCTGATCGTTGGCCAGCTTGGTCTCCCTCCCCACTGTGATAGGCCCGGGTGCAGGCCGTGGCATAGACTAGGCCTCGGACCCTTCCACGGGTTTCAGTATCCAACTCCATGGCAGTCTAGTACCAGTCATTAAGCCAATGAGAAAGGCCTCAGTAAACACAGGCCTGGCATAATGTGCAGTCCAGGCCTGCCTTAAAGTGGCAGAACAGTTTTGGGGTTGACACCCGGGACACTGCCACCATCATAAATATGAGTTAGCACCTGAATTTTGATCACATGGCTACAGGGATGTTTCAACAGTTGTGTGAAAAATGGTCACTTTTTTCAGTGCCATTGTAACTTTGAATGGTCATTAAATAAACTGCTGTAAGCTGAGAACTACCTATATATATTATTGAAAGGTGAAAAAGGAATTGTTCTTGTTATATTCTATGTGTCATATATTATAAGGTCCCACTCCTTCCCTCTCCTCCACACTGAATGGGGCAGGATAATGCTGTCTGGGAAGTTAAAGTCTACACTCAAAGTTCCCAAGGCTGAAAAACATTGAACGAGAATAATATCTTGTTTGTTGCTTCCTTGTGGACTTTTGGCTCCACTCTCTACCCTTTCTCTTCTCTACATCTCTATACTCAAATAAATATATCAGTAAGGATAATACAGTGAAATGTATTGAGTCCATGAAATTCTCATTCTCCATAGTCAATTTATTAATCCTTGAGGGGCCACCAGATTGATATTTTTATTTCAATTTCTTTTTCAGAAAGTTTGTGCCCCTTTTAGTCACAAATAAGCAATATTTTTTTAAAAAAAACTTCTGAGGAAAGAGGTAGGTAGGATGGGAAAGGGCAAGGCAAGGATGAATAAATGTCTTTCAGATACAATCGTAAACATTCACATCTTGACATATAAAGAGGTCTAGGGGGGAGAATCCTTGCACATTTCCATTATTTATTTTATAGAGAAACAAAGATGCAGATTTTCCAAACAGAGAACTTTCTGCAGTTGTTGTTTTCCGTAGTATTTGTTTCCCCAGGGGTATGAAAAAGAAAAAAAATGTCCAACAAGGACAAGATCACAGATCTTCATAAGATTTTCATAAATGAGTGCCTGCCCAATGTCCTTGATGTGGCACACCAGACAGGGTCTGCAGTCCCAGACTCACCCAGTTCCAGTATTAAAACAAGATTGGTAAATCCTACAGGGCTACTTAAATAGAAGTGGAAACAATTGTGTTATATTAATTGGGGATGCTGCTTCGAGAAGAATTTCATGGGGCCAATGACATGGTATTTCATTCTCTGGATATGTGCCCAGAAAGACTCTAAAGCATTTAGGGTTCCATCAGAGGCCTTCCAACTTCTTAAGGCCTAAATAGATGATATAATATAAATCAGACTGCCTAACATTGAAACAAATCTGGACTGGGGCATAACATTCTCCCATTCTTCAGAAACAAACTTCCCATTCTTCATGCCTCAAAAGTGCTTTTTCAAAAGACAATGGACTTTGCTTTTTCTCGAAGACATTTCACTTCTCATCCAAGAAGTTTCTTCAGTTCTTCGATGAGAAGCAGAATAACAGAGTTGGAAGGGACCTTGGAGGTCTTCTAGTCCAACCCCTTGCTCAGGCAGGAAATCCTACACCATTTCAAACAAATGGTTCTCCAAATTCTTCTTAAAAACCTCCAGTGTTGGAGCAACTTCTGGAGGCAAACCAGTCTACTGATTAATTGTTCTGTCAGAAAACTTCTCCTTAGTTCTAAGTTAGTTCTTTCCTTGATTTGTTTACATCCACCGCTTCTTATCCCGCTTTGGAGAATAGGTTGGCTCCCTCTTCTTTGTGGCAACCCCTTAGATATCGGAACACTGCTTTTGTGTCACCCTAGTTTTTCTTTTCATTAAATTAGACATAGCCAATTCCAGCAACCATTCTTTAGCAAAATATATTCAAGGAATGACAAACTCCACTTGCCTTTTGAAAAAGCATTTTGGGGACAACCATGACCTGGATGACTGATAATCTCCATAGACACTCCCATTCTTCAAAATAGCATCAAAAAGTAATATACTGTTCATACCTTTTCACCATTCCAAGAATCAAACAGAGTTTGTTGGTCAAATAAATCCAAACCTTCTTGTGAATATTAATTCATTTTTGTTAATTGTTTTTACAAATGAGGGCATCAACCATATGTTATAAAATAAAAAACTCCTATTTCAGTCATATATAAATTGGAGAAATATTCTTTCCCATGGTATACTATACGTAGTCCTCAACTTATGATCACACTGGAGCCTATTCATTACGGTTGTAAGTTGTGATAGTCATAAACTCATAATGGCTGTGAAGCAAAATGGTTTTACAATTTATTTTTTGCAGTGGTCATTAAGCAAAACACCATGGTCAAGTGAATCCATGGTGATTAAGTGAACCCATTGTTCCTTATAAGGTATTTTTGCTGAAAACTAGAAGTAAACACTAGTTGTCAGCAAAAATATTGCAAATTGTGGTTATATCACTGCAAGACAAAAACCTTCTACACACCAATTCCACCCGTGCTTTCTACAATTTTGTAAACAACAAACTAAAAGACTCAAGGTCCATCCCACCCCTGGAAGGACCTAATGGTAAAGACTACAATGATGACACTATGATGACAATGATGACATGGTAAAGACTACAATGATGACACAACCTCTTTAACACATTCTTTGGCTCAGTATTTGTATACAGCAATGTATCATGCCCAGTATTTCCTAGTCGAACCACAGACAACTACAATGATCTAATACATATCGATTTTACAGAAGACAATGTTAAAAAAGCACTACGTAATCTAAAACCATCTCTATCTATTGGACTGGATGGAATAGGTGCCTACTTCTTAAAAAAGCTATCCACTGCCATAGCTGAACCTCTAAGCATAATCTTTGAAAAATCTTTCAGGACCAGCTCCTTGCCTAATCTATGGTCACAAGCCACGGTTATCCCCATCTTCAAAAAGGGAGACCCCAGCCTAGTTGAAAATTACAGACCAATCTCCTTATGCTGCATCACCTGTAAAATCATGGAATCAATTATTAACCAATCCATTATCCTCCACTTAGAGACAAACAACCTACTCTCCAATAAACAATTTGGTTTCAGGAAAAAACTATCCTGTAATCTGCAACACTTACACTGCAAAAACATATGGACTACACAACTCAATCAGGGCAAAGCAATAGACGCAATCTACATAGACTTCTGTAAAGCCTTTGATTCAGTGGTACATGACAAACTACTCCTAAAACTAAAATCTTACAGTAGCTCTGGACACCTCCATAACTGGATAGAGCATTCCTGTCAAACAGACAACAAATGGTCAAAATTGGGAGCGTCCTATCAAATTCTGTACCTGTCAACAGTGGTGTCCCCCAAGGCAGTGTTTTAGGACCCACTTTCTTCATACTCTACATAAATGACCTTTGTGATCATATCAAGAGCAACTGTGTTCTCTTCGCTGATGATATAAAGCTATTCAATACCACAGACAATACTGCTACCCTTCAAAAAGACCCTGACTTTGTATCAGAATGGTCAATCAAATGACAACTTTAAATCTCAACAAATAAATGCTCTGTCTTACATATTGGCAGAAAAAAATCAGAAAATAAAATACAAGCTAAATAGTCAAGACCTTGTTGAGGATCCAAACTCTGTCAAGGATTTTGGAGTACTCATCTCAAATGACCTAAGTGCTAGAGCCCACTGTAACTACATAGTCAAAAAGGCATTAAAAGTTGTTAACCTAATCTTACATAGCTTTTTCTCTGGTAATATTACACTACTAACTAGAGCATACAAAATATTTGCTAGACCAATATTCGAATACAGCTCATCAGTCTGGAACCCACATTATGTATCTGATATTAACACAGTTGAGAAAGTCCAGAAATATTTCACAAGAAGAGTTCTCCACTCCTCTACTCATTGCAGAATACTTTATGCCACCAGACTTGAAATTCTAGACCTAGAAAATCTAGAACTAAGCCGCCTTTGGTCCAATCTAAGTATAGTATATAAAATCATACATTGCAATGTCCTACCTGTCAATGAATATTTCAGCTTCAACCATAACAACACAAGAGCAAACAATAGATACAAACTCAATGTTAATCGCACCAAACTTGATTGCAGGAAATACAACTTCAGCAAGAGTGGTCAATGTCTGGAATACTCTACTTGACTCTGTGGTTTCTTGCCCAAACCCCAAAAACTTTAAATTTAGACTTTCTACTATTGACCTCACCCCTTTCCTAAGAGGTCTGTAGGGGGTGTGCATAAGCGCACCAACATGCCTACCGTCCCTGTCCTATTGTTTTTTTTATATATATATTTATTTTTCTTATATGTATCCATGTATTCGTAACTATGTTTTTTCTTACGCCTATTATCTTGTAAGCAATTGACAAATAAATAAATAAATAAATAAATAAAGACACTGCAAATGGCCATAAATGTGGGGTGGTTGTAGAGGTGGTATTCAGCATGTTCTGACCAGTTCTGGAGAACCGGTAGCGGAAATTTTGAGTAATTCGGAGAACCGGCAAATACCACCTCTGACTGGAGATTTTACACTATTGCCTGCCATGCCCACCAAGCCACGCACATAGAACCGGTAGTAAAAAAATTTGAATCCCACCACTGGCTGGTTGCCAAGTCACATGACTGTGGGAGGGGAGGTGGCCATCAGAACATCAAAACCAGTTCATAAATATGTTGGAGGAGAGGTGGGGGACAATTGTAACTTTGAATGGTAACTAAATGACCAGCCATAGCTATAGCAATGACACTTAGACTTATATACTGCTTCACATTGTTTTACAATCTTCCCTAAGCGATTTACAGAGTCATCATATTTCCCCCAACAATCTGGGTCCTCATTTTACCGACCTCAGAAGGATGGAAGGATGAGTCAACCTTGAGCCGGTGAGACCCGAACTACCAAACTGTTGACAGCCGGCAGTCAGCAGAATTAGCCCGCAGTACTGCATTTTTAAAAAAGATTTATTTTTTATTATTTTTTCCAATATACATGCATATTGTATGTGGACAGAGTTGGTTCATATTAATCCGGTTCATCATAAAAATATTAGTAATCTCTATCACATCTGTTGAATTTAAATAATCCTCATTATATTGTTTAAGCATACATTAACTTTAAAAAGCCCCTAAATCCTCATCTTTGTCTCTATCTTCATCTATGCCTTTCTTGCTCTATCTAAACATTTCTTTATATATTTAAACAAAATTAATTCTAGTATCATTCATATTGATCCAATTCGCGCTAACAATATCATTCTAACCACTGCACCACCACATCTCCTAAACTGAGCCTCATAAATTGAGGCATCTTCTATTCCACTCCTTGTTTTATCAACATTTCCTGAAAAACCAGCCCTCATTCTGAATCTTTGAATGCCTTTGTTTCCTTGAACAGTTCGAGGAATGAACAGTTTGCCCCCTTGAGTTATTTATAAAAATAATAAAAGTGAGAAAAACCTCTGATAAATAGATGAACCGTTATGTGTGTAGGTGGCAGGGGAGAATCTTCCTCGGAATGTTTTTTTTCCTAAATATTTTTTTAAAAATCTTTAATGAAATTACTCTTATTATTGAAGTGGGTCAGAGCTGCCATGAAGGAAAAGTAAACAAAGAAGCCAATTCAAGAAAAATCAACAAGCGAAACCAAAATATATTTGGTTTTGATATGGACCTCCCCTCCTGACACATAGAAAATACTTAAAAAGTTCTTTCCATTGTGTCACTCCTAACACTTTCTTCTGTTTTTATGCTAAATGAGTGCTTGTTTCCCCTGTTATTTTTTATCCAATGAAATCAGTACAGAGAAGGGTGTGGGGAAAACCCTAGATTGTAAAATAACTCTTGGGATTATAGTTTAATTTATTCTTTTTAATTGTCTGAGTGAAAAGTACCAATTAATTAGTTTTTTTTAAAAAAAACCTCATTTGTTTGATGGTTTCCCCTGTTATGTGTGAGCTCCAAGTCCTTTGTCCCACCCTAAAACAACAACTGTCTTAGACAGTTGCTGACCTTGTTTAACAAGACAGAAAACTCCTGTAAAATAAATTGTCAGAAAATGTTGCAACTATTCCAGTTAAAGGATTAAGAAACTAGCCCTGGGTAGGAAGATGAAGACTGAATTCCCAGTGCTAGAAATTACTACCCTCTGCATTGATTTCCTGCTAGACAGAAAACTGAGCATCCCTTTAGCTAATTAGATAAGGCAGGAAGCAAGATAAAGGAGAATTTCTCCCCCCCCCCCACCCGCCCCATAGTTCAGAGGGGAAAACCTCAACTATTCTAGGTCCTAGAAATAGGCAGGTTGATGGCTAAATTTTGAGTACAATTAAATTTCCAACCAATTCTGATTGGATTCAGATATGTGGGACTGTTCTTACGGCAACCATACTATTATTTATTCAAGAAAAGCAGAAAACAATAATTGCAGTTTTGTAGCTGCTGATGTTCAAGTATGCTTTGTACCTGTTTTGGGGGGCTAACAAGTGTGGATGCCCTAGGAGGATGGTACATGCATATATGCATCTATGTGTGGGTGTGTGGTGTGTGCATACATATAATCTGTTTCAAATCTTCCAAATGAATCATAGCTTCCCGAGTAAGAAGTAAAAATATCTCCAGTGGAAAAAATGAAATGCTCCCCAAAAGGAGGTTAATAAAATGAATGTTCCTGTTAAAAGGTCAAGTGTGGCCAGTTTGAGGGTGAGGGGAGTTATTTTGGTATTGCCATTTCTCGCTCCTTTAAAAAAAAATTAATATGGAGAAAAATGCTATTAATTAATAGCAACCTTCTCATGAACAGGACAAATTCTCCAAGAGATGAATGAGAGTCTCTAATAAATAAATAGCAATTAGATTTCAACGTCTAAATGATGGGAGTGTATAAATGGTGCTGAATGTCAAAATATAGTAATGGAATAGATTTGTAAAGATCCATGTTACCCTTAGGTCTAACAAGTAATACAAAGTTCTCTTATGGTGATGAATGAATGAAGTTCTTAGCAAATCTAACTGGTTTACAAGGGACTGGTTGCTGCTAGTGTGATCATTCACAGCAATACAAACCCCGAGTTTATATATTATATGCTAATATCCCATTTGGGTCTCATATTAATGTAGCTTTTCCCAACCTGATGCTTTCAAGATATTCTGGCATGATAACCCCAATCATTCTCCACTGGCATGTGGTTGGGAATTATAGAAGCTGTGCTCCCAGTCCACCTGTTGAAGAAGAGCAGGCAGAGCTTGGGGGTGGAGCCGAGTGAGTAGTAAGCCTAGAATCATTACATTCCCACAAATGATTTAAGTCCAACCGCTCTTGAATTCCACTGACTTCATTTAGTGCCAATTTAGTGCCGATCATTAGTTGCCTAGATTTTTCTGTATAGGCTTGAGCAGTAAATCATCTTAACTAGAATCTAATGTATGGTCCTGATTCATTGTGCCTAACACCACCTGGAGGGTAGCATAACGAGAAAGAAGTCCTTATTTATTTATTTTAAACATGCACTAAACTACCTATGTGCATATTGTCTATAAATGTAGACTTTTATGGATAAGTATGATGAAATATGGATTCCATTTATAAAAGAATACAGTAAGTTAAAAATGATAGTTGTAACTATTTTTTGTTTATGTTTTGTTCTCTTTTGTTATTAATTAAAAAGCAATAAAAATAAACATAAAATATGCATTAAACCACCTTACTCTGAAAGCTCTGTGCACTGCACAAATTCAAAACATACTACAAGATGCAACAAAATAACAAGACAATAAATAACAGCAAACAATACCGGGGCAGATTTTAACAGAATAACAGAGTGGGAAGGGACCTGGTAGGTCATCTAATCCAACCCCCCCATCCTAGCAGGAGACCTTGCACCATTTCTGACAGATGGAAGTCTAGTCTCTTCTTGAAAGCTTATTCCATTGGTTGATTTTCCTCTAGCTTTTAGTTAGCTGAATCACCTTTGGAAAGCCAGGATTCTGTAATAATCTGAATGTACTGAGCATTAAATAATCTTTGAGTGCTCCACTGCTTTAAGCTCTATATTTAGCATTTTCATGTGGACCTTAATCTCAATGCACTGAAAACTTTCAGTGGCCTCATAGAAATTGGACTGAAAGCTGATTTGTTATCTGTGGTGATAGATTTGATCTGTTGGAGATCTCATTGGAACAAGGCACCATACTACAGACAAAATGCAGACAACAGAAACAACAATGGGAAGGAAAGGGATTTTTTTTTAAAAAAACAAACAAAATCAAAACTCTACTTACTAATCGGCTTTTATGTAACCTTTTCCTTCTCGATCAAAAACTCTAAAAGCATTCAAAATGATTTCTTCTGGATCAGTGCCTAAAAAAAAAAAAAAAGAACAATCAGATTCTTTATACTCTGAATACTTTCTACACAGACGTTAACGGCAGACATATTGAATGTGCAATGTTTGATTATTTTTTGATTCGTATGTCTTTGAGGTCCGGCAACTGAAAGCATGAATAAATTCCACTGAACAATGCCATCTAAGGTAATTCACCCAATTCTGCTAAGGCAGGTGTTTGCGGGTACTTCTTCTGCATTTTTCAATTATTTGGGATATATCTAAAAGGAAACAATTCCAATTTTCTGCAGCGGTGTTACCACTCAGGCATGAGACGCCATATTCTCTCGTATCTTGAGTTAGTTTTGAAAGCATCTGTTCCATACTAGTAGGCTTGTAGGCCTGCATTCCTATTGGTCCGGAAAAGCCGGGCCATGATTGGACAAAACTAAGTGTTCTGATTGGTTCTTATTCGGCTGCCGCGATTGGGTAAAACCAAGTGCGGCAAGCTCAAATGCATGTCATAGGCTGCCTAGCCGCAGCCAGCTCTATAAAAGGAGCTGCCTCAGCTGGGAGTCTTGTCTCAGTATCTGGTTTCCTAATAAAGAGTTGTTGTCACTATTTCAAGTCTCGTCTCTCCTTGGGACCCACCGCCCAGACTTAACAGCATCTTCTTGTCATTCTGCACCATAGAGAGTATTTTAACTTATTGCACCTCTGTATGGTTTGCCAATTGCACAGTGGCAGATAGGAAAGCACTCCAGAGGGTTAGCATCATTGCCCAAAGGATCATTGGTTGCCCTCTCCTCTCTTTGGAAGAGCTTTATAAGAAAGTTCAAAACATTCCTAAAGATCCCTCCCATCCTGGGCACCCTTTTTTTGAACTATTACCATCTAGCAGATGGTACAGGACAATAAAAACAAGGACAAATAGGCTGAAAAACAGCTTCTAGCACAGGGCAGTAACTCTATTGAATTCTACTGTATAGTGCAATATTAATGCAATATCAGGGGTTTTCAATTCAATGTATATAGAATGTGAAGGATGTCTTGTTTTATTTTTTTATGTATAATGTACATTGAAGATGGCATTTAATTTCATTGTACAAGGTAAACTAAACTAAACTCCAGTGACTGAATGAAGAATGAAGAAGGTAAGGATCAGCCCTGTTGTATAATGTCAACAACTAACTAGGGAACCAAGATTCCTAGCTATTGTTCCACTTCTACAAATGTCTTAGAAATAGATGCTACCGACTTCCAGTTTGAGCTTCTTCAATGACAGACTGAAATCTCATCTCTGCAAGGCTTCAATCTGTGCTCGCCGCTGGAGCGCCCTGAGCCAGCTGGTTTCAGGGCTAAGCCACCCTGTAGAGGTGGTGAAGAGGGGGGAGACTGCCAGCAGGGTTGAGGAGAGCTGCATCTTTCCTCCCCAGCTGGCCATTACTCCCTTTCCCGAAGGTGGTTGCAGCGGTGGTCAGAAATGGCCACCACAAAGAAGAACTCGACCAGAAAAGAATGTGCAGGAGGAAGATAAGAAGAGAAAAATTTGGTTGACCGGGTCAAACAGCAGAAGCAACAAATAAGGTACCCTGGAATTGAAACTGTTAAAAAAAAAAATAACATTGTTCCCTAAGAAGATTTTTAAGCTGCGAAGGAGAGAGAAAAGGGAAAAGATTTGGTTTTCTCCTTTTCCTATACTGACAGCTAAGAGACTTAAGCAAGAAATTGGGAAAAAAATCCACTTTGACATTAATAAGCATTTAATGCTGAAAATAAAGTCAAAGGGATAATAAAGATTTCTGGATAATTAAAAGCTTTTGAAAACAGGAAAGGAGAGAGGAAGAATAAAAGGGCAGGATCTGGAAGGGAGGAGACTGCCTGGAATTAAAAAAGAACTTACAGCAAAATCTCAACAAGACTTCCAAAAGATACATTCTAACTGAAATATCGCAACAAAAACCCCAGGAAGAGAAAGTCGGAAAAAAAGAAGAAGATATAACTCGGGACTATCTGGATTTCTTGATGATTTCTGGATTCTTGGTTATTGTTTTGAATGACTAAAATCAATTGGGTGGTTGTTTAAAACTGTTTAAAATGGCTCCACTTTTAGAAGAACTGAAAATGGAACTTAAAAAGTACAAAGAAGATGCGCAAGAAGGGAGAGGTTCTTTTGGCTTCGTATTTCAGTTTTTAGAAATGGAGATTTGGAATTATGAGAAACAACAAGAAATGCCTGCAGAACAAGAAGATTGTGACAAAGAAGAAGCCATCTTTAATGAACAAGTAATCTTAGATGTGGGGGGGGGGGAAGGAAAGGGGAGAAAGAGAATGGAAAGTTTAAGACTGGGAAAAACAACTCCAAAAAAAAAATAGAGTGAAAAATAAGTATAAAATCAGAAAGCAACAGAAGAGGGAAATGCAGAAGAGAGAATTAGAACTAGAGAGCCAAGGGGGTAAAAGTGGGAGGGAGAAGATGAGAGGGAAGAAAGAAATGAAAAGAAATTATAAAGGACAGTAGCAAAATATAGAGAAACAGAGTCTATTTAGAGATAATGGGTGAAAACTTAATGGAAAAAGGGATTCTGCAAAGGTACATAAGATAGTATGGTTATATTAGAAGCATAAATAATTTTAGAAAATATGAAACAATATATGATTAAAATGTCTGATAAAATAGCTATCGTAATTCAGTGGAATGCTTGTCAATAAATAAATGTAAGAAAAGGTATATTTAATGATTTATAAAACATATGTGAAGAGAAATAAGGGAAAAATTAATTATGGAGATTATATGTGTTTTTAAGGAAGTATGATATTTAATTGAAAAGAAGTGTTAAAGATGTTATGGTTTTAATGATTATTAATGATAGAACTGAACTGGAATGGAATGCGGGATTATAACTACATATATTTACAATCTTTCTTTCTTTTTTAAAGAATATGGTGTGTATTATAAGAATGTGCCAAGCAGAATTCAATTGGAAGTTATGTATTATGTATTATATTGAAGGTCATAAACTTAAGGTATATATTGAAGTTTAAATAAGAGTTGAATGGATGTAATTAAAAGATATAAAGGTGTCATACTCCAATTAGTAACTACAGGAGAAAATTTGTTTAATGAGAAAAGATAATATGAAATTGAAACAGAACAGGCAAAAGTATAAATATAATGATTTGAATTGAGATGAGATAATCAAAATAAAATTGAGAAAATTAAAAGAGGGGAAAAACTATATAGAAAATGTAAAATAGTATAAGATATAGAACAGAATACAAAAAGGAGCATGAAATTGAGTTTTGTGTCTGTATAAAGAAGTTCAACCCGGGACCAAGCTATTTTTTAAAATGATGTTTTACTTGTATTTTGTGTGTGAAAACCCAAATAAAACTTTATTTAAAAAAAAAAGAAATAGATGCTACCAGCATTTTGTGATATGATGCATGCAAGCAGCATTTGACAGATAATAGCTCATCCCTTGCATGAGATTGGACCAGATAGGTGAATGAATGAATAAAACTACTTGACTGTAATTTTTTTTTGACCTCCAGAAAGTGTTCCAGCCCAGGAGAGAAAGGTGGCATTGACTATATAAAAGTTAAAAATGATTTAATTGAAATGAATTAAATATAGTTTCCATTATTATTCCATTTGTATTTAACGATTATCTTTTTTATATTTTTCAGAATAAAAATTTGTGAAAGCAAAACAGGCTATCCTTTGCAAAAGTAATAATAGCTTCAAAGTAACAGCTGCAAAATAACTCTATGTGTTCACAGGACAGAGGGACTTGTTCTAGAAACTGGTTGCCAACATCAGTGCCCGCTGGATTAATGCCTTGAAAAAATAAACAGACTGTTTCGTCCGATAGTCTCCTTTTAATCTCTATAGCACATTCCTCAGAAAGTATTACACACAAATACATGTGTTTGATGTTCCTGATTCTTGGCTTCAAGGTGAAAAGGTGAAAAGGTCACTTTTGCCCCCCTACCTGTAGAAAAATGGCATTCACCCTATCTGGCAGCAAAAATCTGGATACTCACGCATCATCACAAAATCTCCAGAACCGTAAAGCCTACAAACTTGAAATTTGGCACGTATGTTCCTCTTGACTTCTAGGTACTCACTAAGAAAGGATTTTTCGAAATGACTATCAGAGCATTAGTATTTCATATATTATTATTTACATGCTCTGGTGCTAAGGAGTTCTACTCCCCCTCCCCACCTGAAAAGAAATCTGTTCCAAATGCAAAACACAAGCAGAGGAGAGGAGTTTCCGTTTTAGTTTCACAGCAGCAACCAGCTTTAGTACAGAACAGTTGAGCTAAGCCACGCACAGGCTCCTTGCTGTCTCCTTGCTCATACAGCAAATACTGTTTCACTTTCCAGGTTTCAGTTTCCAAACAGCCCTCTACTCTCACACATTGACAGGACACTAGCCAGATGAATACCGATGGATGCTGGTAGGCAGAGGCACAATTTTTCCCCCTTATTTTTCTCCCCCAAAACTAAGTCTGATCACGTAGTTTCATAGCGAAGCACGGGCATAGAGCTAGTATATAATATAAAATTAATACATTACATATTGGCAGAATAAAACCAGCACAAGAAAGAACAATGCAACCAAGGTGATCATAACTTTTGGAAGGGAAATCAGTAAAGTTGGGTAAAAATGTTATTGCTTACTTGAAAATAAGGGAAAGTAAGTTCATTTATGCTAACAGGACAATACAACATTTTGACTGTTGTGTGTCCCTGAACAAAAGAAAATACTTGCTAGTCAAGCCCTCACAAAGGATTTTGTTGAACAAAATAAACCCATCTTTTTCCCCAGGTTCTCAAACTGGCCTGAAAGTACAGATTTTTTTAAAAGCAATTATGCAACAAAGAGCGAAACTGTGAAGGAAACCACAATGGCAGGTTTGCACTCCTTTTCCTTCAGAACCCAATGCCATGGTATAACTTGGACAATTTCCCTGTTCAAAAAAAAAAAAAAAATTAGCTGTTCTAGAAATCAATTAAATTCATCAAAGGTTGGTCAAAGCAGGAGCAGAGGGGTGGGTTGGGTTTCTGGGAATTTTGAACAGGGAGATACATATTCTGACGCCAGATGAGTAGTTAAGGAAAAACGAAAAAGCATTTTGTGTTAATGCCAACCACATGGGTCTCCTCTCTACAAAGGGTTGGAAGAAATGCAATTTGTATACCACACAGAGATGCTTCACTTCATCAAAGAAACCACTTTATGCACCAGCTAATCAATAGAGAATGCTGGCCGCGAAGTTCCACTTCAAAGCAAAAAGTCCAGGAAGATGGCAAAGTACACAAGGCATGTCTTGTCTTGTCTTCTCTTGTTTTTTCTCTCTCTGTCTCTCTCTCTCTCCATCTCTCTCTCTCTTTTTTTTCCCCCCCATCAGAGAGGGTAGGAAAACTCTCCCGTGCTGGAGACTTTTAAAAATCTTTCATGGATATAAGCCCAGTCGTGAAAGAGACAACTTCTACGGGAGTTGATCTCAACTGGGTTGGCCAAAACTGTTTTGCTCTTGAGTGCAGAACAAGCTGGCATCTTAGACTATCCGCCGCAACAGAAAGCTGTAGGACAGATTCTATGCAGAGAAGAACAACCTGCAGTTCCTCAGCCTAATCACCCTCTGCAAGCTCAGATTTTGATAATCGTGTCTGAGGATCTTTAGTATCTTATTGCTTGGGAGAGAAAGAAGAAGTGCCTGAGAAAGAGAGAGGCTTGTTGCCCCCCACACTTTTAGTTTTGTCTCCACTCATTCCTGGTTTCATCTCCGTGAACTACTGCTCTGCAGCTGCCAACAGATTCTTTCTGAAGGTCACTGGTCCTTGACGGAGGAAGAATCTCCCAGCTTGGAGGATGCAGGAATTCATATACCTGTCTTGCCCCATATGGCTAAAGCTGCTTCACCACTCCTGCCATCTATCTGAATAGAATAGAATAATAGCAGAGTTGGAAGGGTCCTTGGAGGTCTTCTAGTCCAACCCCCTGCTTAATCAGGAAACGCTATACCACTTCAGACAAAGGGTTACCCAACCTCTTCTTAAAAATGTCCAATGTTGGAGCATTTAGAACTTCTAGTGGCAAGTTGTTCCACTGATTAATTGTTCTAACTGTCAGGAAATTGCCCTCAGGTGCTTTGGAGAATAGCTTGACTCCCTTTTCTTGTGGCAGCCCCCGAGATATTGGAACACCTATTCATAGAAACGCTGCAGTCATCATGTGGATGGCTTGACAAACTATCTACATGTCTCTTCACTCAACCAAAGAGGCCAAGCTATTGGTCTGAAACAGGTCAGAAGAAGTCATCTAGGTAAGGAAGGCATCCAAACCAGGCCAGAGTTGCAGGAAATTGTAGAATCATAGAACTGGGAAGGGACCTTGGAAGTCTACTATTCCAACCCCCTGTACCGGTGTTGGCAAACCTTTTTAGCACCAAGTGCCAAAACAGGAGTCTGCGTGAGGGAGGGAGCTCTGGAAACTGGAAGACCAGCTCCCCGGTATGCATGCCACCTGGTCTTCTGGTTTCTGACATGCATGCATGCACAAAGACCAGCTGTGTGCTGGGGAGCTACTCTTCTGGTTTCTGATGCTCCTGCGCACAAAGACCAGCTGGCCAGTGCACATGCGTGCACCCGAACCCAGAAGAGCAATGGGCGATGGCTGGCATGTCCAGAGAGATGACTCTGCGTGCCACTTCCAGCATGCATGCCATAGGTTTGCCATCACGGCTTTATACCACCCTGGACAAATGGCTGTCCAATTTTTTCTTGAAAACCTCCAGTGAAACAGCACTCCCAACTCTGGGAAGCAAACTGTACTATTGATTAATTGTTCTAACTGTCAGGAAATTTCTGTTTAGTTCCAGGTTGCTTTTCTCCTTCATTTGTTTCCCATCCTGTGCTTCTTGGCCGACCCCACAAGTGCTTTGGAGAATAAATTGACTCACTCATCTCTGTGACTGTCCCTCAATACTGGAAAGCAGTTATCGCGTTACCCCCGCTTCCTCTCTTTGATAGGTAGACATACACAGTTCCCTGAATCATCCATCATAAATAAACAGTGAGGCATCTCTAAAGGATGAAGCAGGAAGGACATGTCTCCTGCCAGCCCAACAGACATCCCTCTTCTGTCTGTCAAAACTTTGATCTGGTCCAGCTCTTATAATGAGGAGGGCAAGAGATGCCTGCCTATTCCTCTGCTCTCACGAGATACACACTGACCTAAATCTTATTGGATTACCTTTAAATTAATGTCAATGCTGATTTATCGTATTTAGTCCATCCCTCATCCCACCCCCATACCTACAATAACCATATTTGGAATGCTAAACTAACAGGCTATTAATTCGCATTCTGCAAGCCAATCTGAATTAGGACTGATTGCCAGAATATTTGCCTTAGTAAATATTTCATTTTGAAACAAAGTAGTTCCTTAGGGATACAGATGTGTCTGAGATAAACAAAGGGCTTTGAATGCTTCCTCACATGATGGCCTTGGCAGAGAAAAATTAACAATTTCTACCCTAACAAAGTACTCTGAAATAACCATTATTGAGCTCAATCACCCTACATAGAGGATTGAAGCCAAATTTTGCTTTTTCAGCCAGTAAATTGAAATTTAGTTGATTAATTTTTGTACATACACACACACACACTTTGAGACACAAACTTTGCCCCAAAATTCAGGCAAATATGAAAAGATCGGATTCTATTAGTTGAACAATTAATTGAATAGCAAGTAATGTTTTACTGAATCTTATTACTGGAAAGCAGCTGGAGGAAATCTACAAAGAAAATCTAAAAGTTTACATAGGGAAAGGCCTCTCTTCAAATGATGTGGTCCCATCCCATAATATTCCCACCTTGAGTTATGTTCTTTGTGGACATGATCTGTAGTCCCCAAATAACCCCCATTCAGGGTTGTCAGGCAAAGAACAGGAGTGGAAGATTCCAGCTAGGAAAAAAGGGAAATGCTGCAGCCAAACAAATAAACGGTCATCATTCTGAGTAATGAATTTTCATTCCAGGAAATCCTCACTCTGATGCTTTGTTCAGGCTCAAGAGATCCTTCATTGAGTACATCATAGTGGCACTGAGAAAGGTGAAGCTAGCTCTAAATTATTTCCACATATAGGGATAGTTAAAAGTATAAGACCTCCCCACCCACTATCGTCCCTCAAGCCACATGGGCCAATCAGTCCAGATGTGGGTTCCTGCTCAACTTCAACAGGTGTCCATTGATATGACCTTGGTTCTCATACCGGCTGGTAGATATTATGACTATCTGGCTAAGGTACCGTAATCCTGAGTTCCCCTCCTGCTCTTCCCACTCCCCCCATGAAAGGCAACCAAGAAACGAAGCAGAAATAAGTATGGCTTCAGCTGAGGTAGTTTTGCAGGTTGACATAAACCACATTATGACTGAATGGGATAGTCTTTTTCCATACAAGATGCTAATTTCTCCTCTCCTCTAATTTTGCTTTAGCATCTGATGTAAAGCTTGCATTGTGCAGACACAGGTGGTAAGCTACTCTTGCTCGTAAAGTGGCAGACACAGGTGGTAAGCTACTCTTGCTCGTAAAGTGGCTTCTGTGCTAGGAATGGCCCTTGACATTGGAAGGCAAACAATAAGGCTACTCTCCAACATCATCTCTGGACATTCAGAGTATTCTCTACATACCCAAGAGGTGGTATTCAGTGGGTTCTGACCAGTTCTGGAGAACCAGTGGTGGAAATTTTGAGTAGTTCAGAGAACTGGCAAATACCACCTCTGACTGGCCCCGCTCTCATCTATTCTCTGCCTCCTGAATCCCAAATGATTGGCTGGGTCTTCTTTTGTTGCCCTGCACAGGAGAATGGAGCTGGAAAGCAGGTTAGTGGGGTGGGGAGGGAATGGGGATTTTGCAGTATCCTTCCCCTGCCATGCCCACCAAGCCATGCCGACAGAACCGGTATTAAAAAAAGTTGAATCCCACCACTTGCAACAGACTGTTCTGGGGTTTCTGTTTTTGTTTCTGATTGAGAAGTTACCTTTTCAACAAGGCATCGGGGTACAACCATCCAAAATCCTGTTGTCCACAAGTACATAGGAACTCATATGATAACCAGAAGCACTCTTGGCAATAAAGATAAAATAGGTTACTGTGCTCTATAGCAGCCCAACCTCCCATCTTAATTGTGCTTTTCTTCATTAAAATAATCTTCATTATGGAAGTGGACTCGCTCAAAATTTGACTACAGCCTAAGTTAGCCCATGATTTTGCAGTGAGAAAGATACTATACGCCAGGACAAATGAACACAGAGACAAAAGGACAACTAATGTGGGTGAGGAAAATAGACCCATATTCTGCATATGCCATTCACAACTTATTCCTCCTTACCTTTCAGTTTCTCACCAAACATCGTAAGGAAGACAGTAAAGTTGATGGCACCTGGAGCTTCCTTGATCATTGCTTCCAACTCTTCCATTTTAACATTCATACGCCCTGTGATGTAATATGCTGATTATGTACTATGAAAGCCAAGGAAATATCAAATGCAGTAATGAATAAAGTCACTATGGTCTGGGAGAACAGAAGATGATTACTAATATTACCACACTGAAGATGTTACCTAATTTGGTAGTGAAACGTCTGCAAGAAAACAACCAAGTTCAGAGAGCACCAAGGGCCCCTCATTCCAACTCTGAGCTACAGATATTTTCCTCTATCACTTCTATATATGTTCTATATTCTGATATTTCAATTTGACTTTATCTAATTTCACTGAAGTTATTAGACTAACTACATAAACTGATTCTTCTTGGGGAATAAGCTGGCAACTCTTGGCTATCAGCTGTAGCCACCCCTGTGCTACATGCAAAATTCCCTGCTAATAATGAGGACAATGTCAATCAATTTTAGTATGTTTGGCCACTATTGTACAAAGTCAGTTAAAGTCCAATTTTCCCCATCCATGTGTATGCTGTTCTATGTAGGATCTCTAACCAAGAGTTGTCTTTATTGGCCAATGTTCTGTTGCCCTTATGTCAACTAAGAAGTACTTGCAGTGTACTGATACACACTCAGGGTAATCCCTCCTCAAAAGAGACTTTTTAATAAATAAAAGAGTATTACAGCAAATGACACATTTTTCTGTGATTCTTTGTCTTTACCCAGTGCAGCAAAAGTGTCTCTCAGGTCAGCCTTGTCAATGAAGCCATCTCGGTTCTGATCCATGATAGTGAATGCCTATTGAGGAACAAAACGTCTATCAACATTTGGAATCCTGCAAAGAACTAGCAGATCCTGAATGCTTGTCAAACTTTTGTTTCAGAAGATGGGACCTTTTGTAGTTTAATGACCATTCATTGTTACGACAGACTTTTAAAAAGCTTCTTATGACACGTCCTCCAAGTTACGGCTTCCAATCTGAAGGCAGGACAAGAAGCAATGGATAGAAACTAATCAAGGAGAGAACCAACCTAGAACTAAGGAGACATTTCCTGATAGTTAGAACAATTAATCAGTAGAATGACTTAATAAACAGAAATGTTAGATTAATAGAATAGAATAACAGAGTTAAAAGGAGACCTTGGAGGCAACTTCTGGAGGCAAGATGTTCCACTGATTAATTGATCTAAACTGTCAGGAAATTTCTCCTTAGTTCTAAGTTGCTTCTCTCCTTGATTAGTTTCCACCCACTGCTTCTTGTCCTGCCTTCAGGTGCTTTGGAGAATAGCTTGGCTCCCTCTTCTTTGTGGCAGCCCCTGAGTTGCCTCCAGAAGTTGTAAATGCTCCAACACTGGAGGTTTTTAAGAACAGATTGGACAACCATTTGTCTGAAATATTATAGAGTTTCCTGCATGAGCAAAGGGTTGGACTAGAAGACTTCCAATTCTGTTATTCTGTTAATAGCAGTAGTAGTTAGACTTATATGCCACTTCACAGTGCTTTACAGCCCTCTCTAAGCCGTTTACAGAGTCAACATATTGTCCCCAACAATGTGAGTCCTCATTTTACCTCAGAAGGATGGAAGGCTGAGACAACCTTGAACCTGGTGAGATTCGAATTGCCAAATTTCAGGCAGCCAGCAGTCAGCAGAAGTAGCCTGTAGTACTGCATTCTAACCACTGTGCCACCGCAATACTTAACTAACACCCACACACCCCCAGTCCTGTGATCACATTTCAGGCGCTTGGCAACTGACTCACAGTTACAACTGGTTACAGTGCTGTCCAGACATGTCACTGTGATTTACAACAATTTATGTTCGAGGAAAAAAATGGCAAAAAACACCATGAGGGTCACTTAAGAACCATGGTGTCTTGCTTTATGAGTCATAGAATTGAGTTCAGTCATATGGTATCTTGAATTATGACTGCAGTGACATGACCAGAATTCCAGGGTGGACATAATTCGACAACTAACTGTAAAGCACCCCAGTCATTACAACAGGTGTAACAAACTCTGACTCCATGTATAAAGTATTTCACACTGAAACTTAGTTACAGCTCCACTTTTCAAAGTAGCCCTGCAGGAATAGGCAATCTGATAGGACCCCAAAGCTTACTTGAGATCAGGTGTAGAAACTGTGAAAAATGCTTGCCACAGTGCCCTCAAATATTTTACATAAAGATTACTGCCCAATAGTTTAATTTCTTTCAGTTTGGCCTTCTGTTTATAATCCTCCTTCTAAACTGTATGATAAATAAATAAAGACTCCTTTGCTTAATTTTTAGTTTTTAAAATGAATATCCTGAGCGGTTAAATAACTATTGAATTGTCTAGCCAGAATAAATAGGATGATGATGATGATAATAATGGATGATCATGGATGATATTAAGAATTTCCACCATCACAAGCAGGAATGATTTTTAATCCTTTTCAATTATCTCAACACAATCTTAACCAATCCCACTTGATGCTTCCCAGGTGTGTTGCACTGCAGCTCATATTATCCCCAGCTAGCATGGTCATTATCCATGGTGGCTGGATATGCTGGGAATTGCAGTCCATCACATATGAATGGCAGACTTCAAATTTCAATCAAACCCCTTTGATTTAGCAAATAAAGCTTTAATTGCTGCTCTTTTAAAATTGCAAGTTATCTGTAAACCATCTGCTCTGCTTCATAAATAAGATGTACTTACAGCATCAGATTGTCTCTTCCTTCCTACAATCTACTGGATTTTAAGTTTATTATTCCACAGCTAGGTTGGTTTTCAAGGGCCCTTGGTGGTAGCAACCACGTGATCCAAGTTTTGTCTTTTTGTACAAGCAAAGACATCACAAGTACACAGGTCAAGGTTTGCACTGTGTGATTGTGGACACAGCCTTGACTTCTTTGTGTACTGCTGTCCCTCCGGAGTGTTAGTAGAAGACATCTTGCTTTCCAGGATAAATAACATTACAAGTAAGATTATGATGGCAATTAGGACCAGAACTGCCACAGCTAAGCAACACAGTCATAAAGGACACTGGCCCATGATTGTATCACTTAGCAACTACAACTCTGTCAGACTCAGTTTGACATCCTTAAGTGAGGACTACACAGATTGTTAAGTAAGAATCTCACGTGATCGCAACTTCTGACTTCCTGAGGGCATCGACTTTGCGTGCGGGAAGTTGGCAGAGAATATCAGAAATCACGATTGTGTCACTGTGGGGATGTCGCAATGGACAGAACTACAAGGACCTGTTGTAAGTACCATTTGTCCAATGCTGTTGTAACTTTGAACTGCTGAACAAGTGGACATTAAATGAGGACTGCTTATAAGCCCTTATCCCCACCATTCTCAAATCAAAAATGGAAATGACCCCATTAGATGCCAGATCTTCCTCCAACTTTTTTGTCCTCCATAATACAATTTCCACTTCACAGGACCAGTGGTGGGATTCTTCCAGTTTCACTACTGGTTCGCTGATCGCACACTTCATGCATGCGCCCATGCACCTAATTCGCACATGCGCAGCAATGATTGGATTCAATTTTTTTTACTACCGGTTCTGTGGGCGTGGCTTGGTGGGCGTGGCAGGGGAAGGATACTATAAAATCTCCAGTCAGAGATGGGATTTGCTGGTTCTCCGAACTACTCAAAATTTCCGCTACTGGTTCTCCAGAGCTGATCAGAACCTACTGAATACCACCTCTGCCATGCAGCTTTCCAAACACCAGCTGAGGCTCTGCCACATCAATCAGCTGAGAGGATAAAGAACAGAAAAGCTCGGGGGAAGGTGGGAGGGCCGACCCTGCACTTTTCTCTTCTTTCTCTTCTCAGCCAATTGTTGGAGCTGGTTTTTATTACCGGTTCAGCCGAACCGGTAGCATTTCACCCCTGCACAGGACCATTTAAGAAAGAAAAAGCTCCATATTAATTTGTCTTTCCAATCAATTAATTTAAAACAGTAAATGAAGCAGTAAATGGAATATACTTCCTTAAATTCCTGAATCTGGCTTTGTTCAAACATGGACAAAACATTGGCGCTGCCCTCTTCTTTCCTCTGCTTTGCCATTTTGGGAGCCTATGAATTAAAACAAGAAGAACCACATTAGGCAGAAACCACCTTCGAAGTTTCTGAGGAGCTCTTAATGCCTGCCATAATCTTGTAATGGACAGAAGGAATCACCTTGAAGAACCGGAGGAAGAGCCACAACCTTGGTCAGATAAAAGGGATTTGAGTTGAGGACAGAACTGTAACATGAAAAAGCATCTCAGACCAGACCCCTCTTAGTCCTCATAAAGATAAAGAGAGGGAGGAGGGAGGCACATTCAGGCTTGCAAGATTCTGTTATTGTAGTCCTATAACAAAACTATTAGCATTCATGACTTTAGTTTCCTAGTCTAGAAGGACTAACAGGTCCCTGCTACATTGGTGTGATTTTGTTTCAACCAGGTCAATGCTTAAGGGGCAAGGAATAAAAAAAGTTAAGATTGTGGACGTAGTCATGAAATCAGAGTTCAACCCTACTTTTACCTCTGACGTGCCATATAGAAGAGGTTAAATTCTCCAAGACAAGAAGCAATGGATGGAAACTAATCAAGGAGAGAAGCAACTTAGAACCAAGGAGAAATTTCCTGACAGTTAGAACAATTAATCAGTGGAACAACTTGCCCCCAGAAGTTGTGAATCCTCCAACACTGAAAGTTTTTAAAAAGATGTTGGATAACCATTTGTCTGAAGTGAAGTAGGGTTTTCTGCCTAGGCAGGGGGTTGGACTGCTAGACCTCCAAGGTCCCTTCCAACTCTGTTATTCTATTCTAAATAAGAAAATACAAAATTAACAGCATGTACAGTAACCAGAACTATGATCAAATATAATGCAACTCAAAAGCACTTTCCATAAATCCAAACGTCCTGGTAGTTATTATCAGTGATAAAGCACATTGCTTAATAACTTGATATAATTAGCACCATTACTAACAGTTAATCTATTGTTAGTAGTTTTTATAAGTTCTCTTTTATTTATTTATTTTAGTATAAAGCAATTACCTAGTTGAGATTCCATTTTGCCATTAGAGTTGGAAAAGTCTAGCTTTTTAATGTCTATTTTACATGTTTTGTCTTCTATTGATATCTATTTCTGTTTGCACAATTAGTTTTTAAGTGCAACATAATTAATGTATTATTGTTGTCATTACACTGTTCCATTGCTAGTAGTAGTGATTTTAAAAACTCCTTGATGCGGATAACATTGTTTAGTCATTAGATGGCAGAAGTCTAGAAATGATGATTAATGTCTTTTCAGTTTCTCATTCTCCAAGGCTGAATTTGTTTTCAGCAGTTTATTTAATTTATTTATTTATCAAATTTCTACGTTGCCTATCTCACCTAAATAACTCTGGATGGTTTACAAATAACAATGTAATGTAACATGCATGAAAGTCAATAGGGGCATATTCTCCAGTACACATTATTTTCTGCACCATTTGATCTGCATGAAGGTTAACAAGTAATTTTCTCTATCTGAGTGCATTTTAAATATTATTTTATTAATAATTTTTGTTAACATTAATATATACATTATGTCAGTTTCGGAGAGCAAATACTCAGTTTGATCTGAGAACTGCCTCACAACTCTTAGAGACAAATAAAGAAGGGAAACTACCAGGTTATCCTCGGTTGATTATTTGTGAAATGCAAATTCATTGTCCTCCTCATCAGAATGGATGAAGCCTGGAATTTCCCGTTCTTGTGGGTGGAATCAGCCCTGGAATTCTTGCCTCCTTTTCAAAATTAAATGTGTCTCTAAGAGTGCGTTTAATTTCCACTCACCAAAATAATAAATCAACCTGCAAAGATAAAACCAGAGGCTGAGTCAAGCTGTACTATCTTGGCCAAAGGTTTTGTTTTGTTTTCCTTTAAAGTTTAGGCTAGGTTTTCCTTGCAAGAATTCTTTACATTTTTTCCAGGTCAGGAAGTCAAGGAAAAAAGAGGAACTTCTAGAAGCACTAAATGTAAATCAGGGCTACCATTCAGAGCCATGGAAAGTCAGGATTAGTTCAGAACTCAGATGCTGAATAGAGAAGCGCGCGCACACACACAAACATACAGTACAGGCAGTCCTCGACTTACAACAGTTCATTTAGTGACCGTTCAATGTTACAACTAATATTGGTAGCCATGCTCCAACATGCTGTGACTTGCAGGCACATAAAGAACTTCCAGAATGGTGCCAGTCCTTGTTCTGCTCTGTTGCAGACATCAGCAATTTGGAAAGTATCTAAAAAGCCTTGGCTCATGATCTTTCTTCTCCCCATCTTTTTATTATTATTATTATCTTTATAAACACAAAGTCAATTTTTTCGCTACAAGGAAAGGAAAGGCAGAATTACAAATGTAAATGACTGAACTTATTTGCAATGGAAATTGTTTCAAGTCAGGTTGAATCAATTATTTTAGAAAATGTTTTGGTTTGATCTATAATGGTACATTGTCTTCTTCAATGAATAGCAAGGAATTCAGTATATCAGAAACATTTCTTAAATAAGCCATGACAGATTCTCCTGAAAGTCTAAAACTTTGAAGGGGATCTGTGAGATTTCAGTGTGAATCTCACAAGAACTCTTCTTACCATAGAAATTTTTAAAAATGTAATTCAACAAGTCATGAAGATGATCCATGGGTGACATCAGACAGAACTAAATTTTATATATATATATATATATATATATATATATATATATATATAACAGTTACTGTTTTCAGCTGCCAGGTTATTTATTATATAACATTGGAAAAATAAAATAATATTTTATTATACTTTGGCATTTAAAAATGTGGAAAGTTCTTTGAATGAAAAATTGAAACAAGGCATTGTTTCAGGAAAATCTACCATCTAAGGATAAATTTTGGGCATATTAAAATGTTTTGATAATATATGATTTTGATCTAAATGTAATTCTGGACAGAAACATTGATCATGGATGATAAAAATGTATTTCTCAAGATCTCATATGCATTTACAAACATATCTTTGAACATTTGTATATTTTATTTTTTCTGATGCATTTTTCCCTCTGATGTCCATTTTTTTTAATTACTCTCTTTTTTTGTTATGCAAAAAGAATATTTTTTAAAAGATCTTTAATTCCAGTTAGGAGAAAAGGAGGATTTAATTTCATCTCTCACAATGCAAAGTTGGTTCCAAATGAGGCGGACAATTGTTTTTTAAAAAGTTCATTAAAAGACAAAACTTTATTTCCTTTATATGATGACCTATTAGCCTCCAGCTCACTTTGCAGACATTTCTTTAAATATCTAAAATTAAGCTCCAGTACGTATTTTTCTGCCAGTCAAAAAAAAGTTTGGGTCCTTTGTAAAGTTATTCAGAGAGAAGCAAAAATAGCATTTCAAAATTCTCCACTAAGTTAGAATGCTTTCTCCCAATTACTTTGGGGGAGAAGAAGGAATTCTCCAACAACTTCTCAAAGGAAAAGCACTACGGTTAGAATAGCTCATTGAAGGAGTTGTCTTGCCCTGTCTTTTGCGGGGGAATTACAGGTAGTCCTCGATTTATGACAATTGAGCCCAAAATTTCCATTGCTAAGTGAAACGTTTGTTAAGTGAGTTTTGCCCCATTGTTATGACCTTTCTTACTGTAGTTGTTAAGTGAATCATTGCAGTTGTTAAGTTAGCAACATGGCTGTTAAGTGAATCTGGGCTCCCCACTGATGTTACTTATCAGAAGATCACAAAAGGTGACCATGTGAGCCTGGGACACTGCCATCGCCATAAATAGGAGTCAGTTACCAAGCATCGGAATTGGGTCATGTGACCATGGGGATCTGCAATGGTTGTAAATGTGAAAAACAGTCATAAAGTAACTTTGAATGGTCACTTAATGGACTGTTGAGGAAGACTACCTGTAATGAAAATATGGGAAGTGACAGAGGCTGTAGGTGGTTGAACATTCCCATAATGTTCTTGGAGGTGGACAGAACTAAATACAAGAATGAAGGTAAAGGTTCCCCACATACATACGTGCTAGTCGTTGAGGGGGCCGTGCTCATCTCTGTTTCAAAGCCGAAGAGCCAGCGCTGTCCAAAGATGTTTCCATGGTCATGTGGATGGCATCACTAAATGCCAAAGGTGCACGGAACGCTGTTACCTTCCCACCAAAGTGGTCCCTATTTTTCTAATTTGTATTTTTACATGCTTTTGAACTGTTAGGTTGGCAGAAGCTGGGACAAATAACGGGAGCTCACTCCATTACGCAGTGCTAGGGATTCGAACCACCAAACTGCCAACTTTTCTGATTGACAAGCTCAGTGTCTTAGCCACTGAAGCTCAGTGTCTTAGCCACTGAGCCACCACATCCCAACAAATACAAGAATGCCATCTGCCATAAGAATTCCTCTGAAATTCTTTGCTCCTTTGAAAGAGAGATGCCCCTTGCCATCAAGTTCCTGGCCTTCAAATTGGGTGAGAACAAGTACGAAAGAAAAAAGGATCAAAAGTAAATGTGCTGGACACACTTTTCTGTCACTGGAGACCAAGATACAATACAGGAGGACTCCGTTATAAAAGAGTCCAGTTGTCTGAAGGCTTAGAAGAGAATGGTCCTTCTAAGCAAAGAACCTCTGATTTCTACTGGTGGACCACGAGCTTGTGAAATCACGAGAGAGGCACAAAAATCTTTGTGAATGTGATGGCATAAAACTGCTTTTGTCAGACTGACTCATTTGACATAACCACTCCTACCCCATGTGGATGCCACTGCTCTGAACCCATTTTGACCAGAGGTGGTATTCAACAGGTTCTGACCAGCTCTGGAGAACTGGTAGCGGAAATTTTGAGTAGTTCAGAGAACTGGTAGCGGAAATTTTAAGTAGTTTGGAATACCACCTCTGACTGGCCCCATATCCATCTATTCTCTGCCTCCCGAGTCCCAGCTGATCGACTGGGTTTTCTTTTGTTACCCTGCACAGGAGAATGGGCCTGGAAAGCAGGTTAATGAGGTGGGGAAAAAATGGGGATTTTACAGTATCCTTCCCCTGGAGTGGGAAAGGAATGGA